AATTTGACACCATGAAACACTGTTTGTTGGTGTTTACAGGGGAATTATCATTCTATGGTTTCTGAGGTGATGCAGGATTTCGTTCATCCACAGTAGGGGCTTAGGGAATCAGACCACTTTTGGAGGGAAACACCCCTCTACTAATAGGACGGGTTCATTCATGCGGGGAAAAACATTACTTGGGACCCAACTTGAATGATGATAACTTAATGGTACAGAATGGCCCTTGCTTCATGCTGCTTTTGGAACTAATCGGGGGGCAAAAGCCAAGTGAACACACCGTTTTGAAGGATTTGCCACATGAAAGACACAGCCTGAAAGGTAGAGCTCACTTCCGAACGCAGAAAAAGCTATCCATTTACTAGGTCCTCCAGTAGATAGGTTAGAAGAAGTTGGCATTCATTTTTTTCTGGACGTCTATGTTAGTGGGGAAAAAAACCACCCCCCCCCAAAAAAAAAGGGGGGTGAGAGGTAGGGCACCAATTGCTCGGTGTTGAAACACATAGAAGCCTGTGACATCCACACTTCGGACCTAGTTTAGACTCGTCCACTTTGCTTTTCGCCTGTTGGAAGCCAAGGCTGAAATCAAACATGCCCTCCAAAGTGTCCTTCCCGAACCCCCCCCATTTTTTTTTGCTGAAGTCCCCAAAACATAAAACTCTGGGAGTGAGTTGCAAAGGCTGCAACCTTTTGTTTAGCAAAACCCGCACCCATCCCAAACAAAAAGTCAGGAGTGAGTTCGAGAGGGAAACCCGCTAGCCACTCGACAGTCCAGGGCTCACAAAACGGAAAAGTATACCTGATAGGCCTGGGAGGGGGTTTCTCCTCCCAGACGTCCGGGAAAGACCACCCCATGGGCTTCAAAGCCCCCAGAATGCATGATAAAACTCCAGAGTAAACCATGGGTCGTCATATGAACTCAGCTTCCCTCCAATTAGTGGTTTGGAGCCGAATTGGTGGTTTGGTGGTGTTCCGGAGGGGCTTCCAGATCACCAATTAAGGGGTAGGGGCTGGTCGAAATCGCGGTGATTTGTGCATTTGTTCATCTGTCTAGCTGCAGATATTTGCCGCTCATCGCAAATATCGGCGGGCAGAACCAAGATTCACAATACCCACATTGCTGGTGCTGCAACGCGAAAGAGTTGTCTCCTCGATTTCCTGTGGTTTTGAATGTTGAGCCCTGTTGTTTTTGTGTTGCCAGTACTATCTGTAGGGATTGTCAAGCGGTGAAGCAAGCCCAGTCAGATTGGCGGCCTCTTGGAGAAACAGGCGGCCGTACTAACCGGGCATAAAACCCATCCAAACCAGTGGAACCTTTTTTTTATTTCTTGACCAACCTCCCCTTTTTTCAAAAGGACACCGAGTGGGAGCCCCGCACTTCCCCCTGGGTTGGCCTTCAAGGGGCCGCTTTTCCAGCCGCAAAGACCACGAAGCCCTTGTGGCGGGTCCAAACCATGTAAGGCAGGAAGGCGAAGGCGCCCATTTCTTGGGATTCTCCCATCTGGGGTTGATTCCTTGTCCATTCTTTTCATGGTTGTTTTTCTCCCACACGCAAATGAGTCATCGAAACCTGGTAACAAGCTCTACCCAGAACCATGGAAGCATGTAAGGCATGAAGAAGGCGAAAACACCCATTTCTGGTTGGGATTCTCCCATTTAGGGTTGATTCCTTGTCTATTCTTTTCAACCATCGTTTTTGTTTCTCCAAAACTGATCGCTGTTTCCTCAGGGATTTGGGTTGTGGAAAGAAGGATGCCTGGAAATGATGGAAATCGAAGCTATCCTATACAAACCAGGTCCTCCCAGTAGAGAGGTTAGAATAAGGGTGCCCTTTTTTCTGTAGTTTATTTTAGTAGGGGAACAGTTCCTCCCCCCAAAAAAAGGGGGTGAGAGGTAGGGCACGGACCTAGCCCACCTTCATCTCCCATCGGTTTGGAGCACGTCCCGCCTCTCCAGCGCCCCAAGGCGTGCCGTGGCCTGCTTCCAGGGTTCCGCCTGGACGGCCGAAGCCCCAGGTGTTTGAAAGTTCGACCGAGTAGGTCCTCTGGGCTGGTCGTTTTCGGCTCCGCTGAAAGTTTGACTCACTGACTTTTAGTGGGTGAAATAGGGAAATCCAACCACTAAACACCAAAAGGCGAAAAAGCGGAGGGGATGGATGGGAGCCACCAAGTTATATATTGCTCATCCAACCATTGCACCATTTCTAATTTGGTGTTTCATGGGATATGCAGCCACTAGATCTATCAAGCTACCCTCCCACCAGTTAACATGGGACCTGACGTTCGGGACAAAAGGCCCCACTGAAGTCGGCGATTCAACCAAACGCTGCACCATTGCAAGGTGGGAGTAGGTTATGACCATAGTTGGCCTCTGGGAAAAAAACAACGATGGCCCCGGCAAGTGGAATGAAGCCCATCTTAAACCAGTGGAACCCATCTATTTCTATCCAAACGAACCTAAGAAGGACACCTGCGGTTATAACCAGAAGGGGACGAACCCTGTTCTCAAGTTGGCGTTTTTTTCCTCCAAACTTCGAGCAATGGGGGTTCCGAGTCATCTTTCGGTTGAAAGATGGCGGGCTAAGGGGCGGCCTTCACAAAGGATCCCTACAGCTCATTCGATCCGGGCACTGATTTGGTGAGCTTGAACGAATGCCCAAATCCTGATTTGGTGAGCTTGAACGAATGCGCAAATCCTGATTTGGTGAGCTTGAACGAATGACCAAATCCTGATTTGGTCAAATTGAACGAATGCCCCAATCCTGATTTGGTGAGCTTGAACGAATGCGCAAATCCTGATTTGGTGAGCTTGAACGAATGCGCAAATCCTGATTTGGTGAGCTTGAACGAATGCGCAAATCCTGATTTGGTGAGCTTGAACGAATGCCCAAATCCTGATTTGGTCAGCTTGAACGAATGCCCCAATCCTGATTTGGTGAGCTTGAACGAATGCGCAAATCCTGATTTGGTGAGTTTGAACAAATGCCCAAATCCTGATTTGGTGAGCTTGAACGAATGCCCAAATCCTGATTTGGTGAGCTTGAACGAATGCCCAAATCCTGATTTGGTGAGCTTGAACGAATGCCCAAATCCTGATTTGGTGAGCTTGAACGAATGCCCCAATCCTGATTTGGTCAGCTTGAACGAATGCCCAAATCCTGATTTGGTGAGCTTGAACGAATGCCCAAATCCTGATTTGGTGAGCTTGAACGAATGCCCGAATCCTGATTTGGTGAGCTTGAACGAATGCCCAAATCCTGATTTGGTCAGCTTGAACGAATGCCCCAATCCTGATTTGGTGAGCTTGAACGAATGGTGAGCTTGAACGAATGCCCCAATCCTGATTTGGTCAGCTTGAACGAATGCCCCAATCCTGATTTGGTGAGCTTGAACGAATGCCCAAATCCTGATTTGGTGAGCTTGAACGAATGCCCAAATCCTGATTTGGTGAGCTTGAACGAATGTGAGCTTGAACGAATGCGCAAATCCTGATTTAGTGAGCTTGAACAAATGCCCAAATCTTGATTTGGTGAGCTTGAACGAATGCCCAAATCCTGATTTGGTGAGCTTGAACGAATGCCCAAATCCTGATTTGGTGAGCTTGAACGAATGCCCAAATCCTGATTTGGTGAGCTTGAACGAATGGTGAGCTTGAACGAATGCCCCAATCCTGATTTGGTGAGCTTGAACGAATGCCCAAATCCTGATTTGGTGAGCTTGAACGAATGACCAAATCCTGATTTGGTGAGCTTGAACGAATGCCCAAATCCTGATTTGGTGAGCTTGAACAAATGCCCAAATCCTGATTTGGTGAGCTTGAACGAATGCCCAAATCCTGATTTGGTCAGCTTGAACGAATGCCCCAATCCTGATTTGGTGAGCTTGAACCAATGCCCCAATTCTGATTTGGTGAGCTTGAACGAATGCCCAAATCCTGATTTGGTGAGCTTGAACGAATGCCCAAATCCTGATTTGGTCAGCTTGAACGAATGCCCCAATCCTGATTTGGTGAGCTTGAACGAATGCCCCAATCCTGATTTGGTGAGCTTGAACGAATGCGCAAATCCTGATTTGGTGAGCTTGAACGAATGCGCAAATCCTGATTTGGTGAGCTTGAACGAATGCCCAAATCCTGATTTGGTCAGCTTGAACGAATGCCCCAATCCTGATTTGGTGAGCTTGAACGAATGCCCAAATCCTGATTTGGTGAGCTTGAACGAATGCCCAAATCTTGATTTGGTGAGCTTGAATGAATGCCCAAATCCTGATTTGGTGAGCTTGAACGAATGCCCAAATCCTGATTTGGTGAGCTTGAACGAATGCCCAAATCCTGATTTGGTGAGCTTGAACGAATGCCCAAATCCTGATTTGGTGAGCTTGAACGAATGCCCAAATCCTGATTTGGTGAGCTTGAACGAATGCCCAAATCCTGATTTGGTCAGCTTGAACGAATGCCCCAATCCTGATTTGGTGAGCTTGAACGAATGCCCCAATCCTGATTTGGTGAGCTTGAACGAGTGCCCAAATCCTGACTCCTCCGAGGTTGACGAGGTTGACATTGATAATTAGAGGATCAAGGTCTCTCAAGGTGCTATCATCCACAAACTGGATAAGGCAAAGACCTTACAAAGGTACACAGAAAAAACGTGTCGAAAGATTCGGTTTCATTGGGTTTGTTGCAACATAGCTATTTGGACCCCCCCAAAAAAAACACCACTGGAGTTTGATGTTAAATCAAAAGCAGATAGCCTCGAAAAAAGTCAGACCCATATGGTGGATACTCCAGCTCGTCGAAAATGTTTCGGGTGAAGACCCAAAGGGGGGTACCCTAAACACAAACTGAAACGGACCCTTGCCATTTCTTGGTTGCCGGCAACACAAGAAAAAGCGAAATCCATTCTTGGGGCTCCCGCCAAAAAATCAAAAAGCACAAACATCGTGGAGTTGTCCTCTTGGTTTTTCTTTAAAACCCTCCCAAACGAAACTTAGCCTCACAAAAAATTAGACCTCACACCCATCTTGGCCATGTGGGCGATGACCACTACCACTTCTCTCCAACAACAAGGGCCTAACCCCCTCCAGGGAGAGCTCTTCAAGGCTATCACAGTGGGCTCACGATAAACCCCAAAGACGTTCAACCACCCTGGGGTTCCCTCACAAGGGGGAGCTACACCCATTTTCGAACCCTGCCCAGTGACCATGGGAAAAAAAGGCCCAAAAGGCAAGCCTGACAAAAAACAAAAACAAAAACCCGCAAAACCTTTCGTGTCTGATCCCTGCAATCTCGTCTCTGCTAGGTCCTCCAGTAGAGAACCTTTTTTTCCTGTAGTCTAAATAGTAGGGGAACCCTCCCCAAAAAGGGGTGACTATCCAAACGAACCTAACAAGGGCACCTACCTTTGGTTATAACCTGGCATGACCATGTTGTCCAAAGGGAAAGCCTGACAAAACTCGTCTGATCGAAATCGTCGTCTCCGTTTCGGAGCCCCGTGAATCGAAGCCGATCGAAGCCGCGCAGCCTTCGGCTTCGAAGGCGCGGCGCCACTGCCCCGCGCTCTCCAAGGCGGCCCCTTTGGCCCCCCAGGTCACCACGTCGCGCCGGAGGCCCCCCGCGCCTCCATCCGAGGAGCCGCGGGCGGGGGCGGGGCCCTTTCCCTGGACCAGAAACGGTGGGAATTTGAACAAAGGAAACACCAAATGGATGCTGATTGGCAAGGGAAATAGAGCCGAAAAAGGAAATAGAGACTTGGACAATAGCTTTCGCATGTTTCATTTCCACCATTCCTGTTGGTGCAACGCTCTGAATTTTTGTGTTTTAGCCTCAGGAGCCGAACCTTTGGGCTGATCCCCTGCTCAAAGTGAATCACTTGTGGGCGAAATGGAAACCCAACCACTAAACCAACCAGAAACAATTAAAAACTTGAGACAATCGAATTCACCCGCTAAACCAACGAACAAAAAAGCGTGAGAACCTCCAAAAACCCGCCAAGTCCTGTCCAACCACGGCTGTTCCAAAGCCATCGCCCGACCACCTTTGCCGCGCCTAGCTGTGCCTCCAGCGCCAGCACGAGGCGCCACCGCCGCCGGCACAGCGCCATCCCCGCGTTGCCGGCCACCAAGTCGCCCCCTCCCAGCGCCTCAGACGGAGGCGGCCGAAGCTGCGAACTCTTCAAATGTCGACTGTTGGCTGGCACGACATGGGCCAAAACGGTTGGGGCGCAGCTCGAAAATGCTGGGAGATGTGAATGCGGTGCAACTCTCTAAACATGACCTTCGGTTGCCAGTGTAGCGAGAGGGAGAGAGAGAGAGGAGAGAGAGAGAGAGAGAGAGAGAGTTGAAGTAGGGCATGGCACCAGCTTTTCGGGGGCCGTTTTATGACATCGTCATCATCATCATCATCATCATCATCATCATCATCATCATCATCATCATCATCATCATCATCATCACCATCACCATCACCATCACCATCACCATCACCATCACCATCACCATCACCATCACCATCACCATCACCATCACCATCACCATCATCATCATCATCATCATCATCATCATCATCATCATCATCATCATCATCATCATCATCATCATCATCATCATCATCATTGTCACCAGCGCAACAGCACGCACATCGAAACTCTTGGACGAGACAGCGATGCGCAGTAACACCCGTGCGACAGTCTGGTTGCGACACAATCAGGCATGGCTATGCAAAGTCCAGGTGCCAACTCGATGCAGAAGGCTCAAATGGGGGTTTCCCAAAATGGTGGATCCCTGTTTGGGTGGTTGTTTAAAGGGCGACCAACCAAAAAAGACACCCACCCAATGTAGGGGCTCCCCATGCCAAACCCAACCAGCTTCAGCACATCCAACTTTCAAGTGTTGCAAACGCAAGGGCGAATCGATCGAGGTACCGCCCCAAACGATATGTGTCAAAAACTCCAACCAGGCTTCCGCTCGGTATGGTGTTGCGGCTGTCTTGGGTCCATATCAAAACACCCGTCCGGCGGTTTTAATAACTCAACTCATTCTCCTGAATGGCTGCGGAAAATGAACATGGCAGAGTCTGACATCTATCAAAAGGAGAACCGACCCAACTTTCGCGGCCAACGGCATGCGCTGCCCGAATCTTGTGTCCATGGCACTACACTCGAGTTGCAAAACCGAAAATGCACAGGTCCAGCAGAGACCTCAATGAGCGTTTTCTTTCCCTCTCAAATCCAACCAAAAGGGAGCCTCAGATTTGTTGGAAGCCACTGATGGCGCAGAACAAAGCTACCCTCTTGCGTTGACCCCACTTTCGGATTCCGGCAGACGGCTTCAACACAAAAACCAAAGGCAGAAACAAATCCTTGAATTGGCCATGGGTCAAAATCCAAATCGTACCCCCAGTGAACATCCCAATCCCCACTAAAATAGGTTCTAAAATGGGTGTTGAATTCACCTACCCCAAAACGGGATCCCATTGGTTTTGACCCATTCAGGTTGTTGGCTCTGGCTCACTCGGCTCAATTCTCTTTGGCCAATCGTTCCGGGAGCGTTCGCATCATGCAACCTGAATAGGAGCCCTTTTCCCCGAACCTCAAATTCGAGTCCCTGGTTTTGTTCGGCAAGTGCAGAGTTCATTTGCGCAGACGGGAGAAAAGCAGGATACCCTCAACCACAACACGCGCACAGACACAGGGTCACTCATGGCCATGGGTCAAAATCCAAATCGTACCCCCAGTAAACATCCCAATCCAACCACTAAAATGGACTAAAATAGACTAAGATGGGTGGTGAATTCACCTACCCCAAAACGGGATCCCATTCGTTTTGACCCACAGCCAAGAAACCGATCCCATCCCAACCGAAGCACCCTCCCCAAACCGCCAAACCGCCAAACGGGCGCGAGAGAAAGCGCCCGACGCCAGGGTCCGAGGATCAGAGAGTTCGTGCTCACCACATTGGCCTGGCCCCAGTTTCAGCAGAAGCCCCCCCCCTTGAGGGCTGTGGCCTGAGAGACTGGAGACCCGAGATGAACCGCCATGTGTGTCTGTGGCTGTGGGACCCTCTGTTGTGGGCGGTGTGAAGGGAAACCAACAGGAACACCCCCCTTTTTCTGTTCTTTTCTTTTTTTGGGGGGGGGTCCCTACAAAAAGACACACCCATGTTGAACTAATTTCCCCCCCCCCCACCCCCCTTCCGGTTTATTCAGCAGAAGGCTTACGAGGAGACCTGAGACGTCCATTGGCCGCTGGCCGCGTCTTTCGTCGAGGGAAACCCTTTCGGGTTGCAAAAAGGGACACCTCAAAAAGCACACCGCCGTTTTTGCCGAGGGCGCCGCAAAACAAAACAACCCATAGAACCCATGGTGAACCCCGGATTGACGATTGTTGACGATTGTTTTTTTTGGGAGGCGGTCCATTCGAAGCGTGATCCCGCGGATTCCCAAAGAGACACGTGTCCCGATCAGAATGCAGTGCTTCCGCTTCATCCGGGTGATGGCACCAAGCGCTCGCCTTTGGCCAGGGAATCCCAAACCTCGGACCCTGATTGAAGCCTCCATGTGCGTTCTTGCCACTTGGAAAATCAACTGCACATATGTCCAGTGATAGATTCCCTTCAGAGACCAAGAAAAAACAAGACCTATTCCTTTCAGCAAGTCATGAAGTTTTGCTGGGCCCTCCAGTAGAGAGGTTCGAACAAGGGTAACAACTTTTTTCTGTAGTCTATTTTAGTAGGGGATCCCTGCCCCCAAAAAGTTGGCAAGAAAGGGCACCCAGCTGGGGGACCTAGTTCACCCCACCCTTTTGATGGCCAACCGGGCTGAAGTCCACCCTCCTCCCCTTCAAACATCTTAAACTTAGAATTGGGGGCACCTGGAGTGACCCCTGGGATTCCATTGTTGGTTCCAGGGAAGGCTGCAGAAATCAAAACTTGGGGACACTCGCCTCGAGGCCCTTCTGCAGCATCTGCGTGAAGAAGGCCACAGCCAACGACCAGCGACCCGCCTGGAGTCTGAAGCCAAGACCCAACACCCCGCGGCTTGATTCGGTTTGGCTCAAAGAGTAGGTCCTCCAGATTTGAGAGGAAATACAATAAGGGTACCCGAAGTTTCTTCTTTTTTTTTCTCCTGTGGTGTGAGTATGTGTCCACACGCGACTGTCACATTGATATTGTATGAGTAAGACACCTCCTCCGTAAGCAGATGTTGAGGAAATAGGGTGCGCATGGGCTTGCCTCAAAAAGTCGCCCCGAAAAAACGAAGGACGGTTGCTGCTTTGGTTTGCCTTTAGAGCACTTGCTCACCAAAAAGAGTACCCTCCAAAAGAAAAGCGCCCATGCCAACCCCCACAAAACGAATGTTTCAAGCACAAAACTTGGACGATGAACAACTCCCGAAGGGTCAACAACTGGCTGTGTAAAAAACCCCCCCTTTGCTTTCATGGTCCTTGGACCGGTGGCATTCCAGCGACCCAACTCCTCGGGCCCTTCCGGACTCAGAGGCTGGGGTTGGCTCACGCTCGGACCGCGACCCCGCGAGCCGCCAAATGACATGGCGTCCCGGTGGATGTCCTTCCAACCGACCCCATTTTCGGAGCTGCCCGGTGTAAAAAACACCGTCTGTGAGTGAGAAACTGACTGTTTTTTTTTTTTGAACTGGAGGCTTGGCCAATCCTAGTCCATGATCTCTGAAGGGAAGCCACTACAAAGGGGACCGGTTCCTTGCGCAACCAAAGGTAAGGATCTTGCGGATACCAAAGCGCAGGGGAAAATCGCTAAGCCGGAAGCAGCCCGAGTCAGACGTGTTTGAGGCACCTGCTTCTTCTACTGTTCGGTTTGGGGAGTCAATAGTGAGGACAAGAAGAAGAAGCTACGTACCCTTTTTTGGGTGGTTTGAAGGGAAGCCTGGGGTCCAATCTGAACAAAAGACGAACCACCCAAACAGAAATCTTAAGATGGAAGTCCATCTTGTGGGTTGGACAGAGCACATAACAATCTGAAGGAACCTAGCCCAATACCTTGCTTTTGGTTAAAGTGTTCGGCAGATTAGCCAATAAAAAAGAGAAACACTTCAACGGGCCTCTATGCCGAATTGCTTTGCCCTCAAGATGTCCTTGCCACAGCTGCTGACTTCACTGGCCACAAAAACAACATGCTTACTCTTGACGGGACGCTCACGGGTTTGACAACCGGTCCCCCAAACGCTGGATGTGCTTGTTGAGAAAGCTCCATTGAGGGGTTTCAGTTCAAGATCCATGGCTTAGAACCTTTGAACTGTTGAGTTCCAGCTGCCTTTGAACTTTTGGTTTTTGCCAAGCAAGTTTAGGAACCCACATGCGTTGTCAAGCTCATGTCTAACTGGAAAGCGTTTGTCCTCAAATCTGCCTAAGCATGGAATACTCACTTGTTCCCTCGTCTTAACCTAGTGTTCACCAATTAAAGGATGAACAACTCTCGGTTTTGGGCATGCCGGGTTCAGGGTGACGCACTAGGAATGTGTCAATCATGGACATATCCCCTAACAGACCAAAACAACCTAAAAGAAAGCCCCTCTTGGGATTTGTTTCGCTTCCTCCTTTCCTCCCTGCCTGCCAATCACCCCCACCTCCTCTGCTCCAGTCTCCGGGTGTGTCAAAATATAAAAACACACTCCGAGAAACCGTGGTTTCCTTTGGTCTCCCTTGAAAACAACAACACGGCACAGCCACCAAAAGGTTGCGTACCTTTGTCGCCACACCAAAAGGGTGTCTCTTGTAGTTGACCCCCCAAAAATATCGCGGCTCTCCTTTTTGGGCGTCTCCTTTTGTCCCACCAAACCATGGGGGTACCAACTCCACCCCAAAACAAAAGACGCAGAAACTCAAGGCTGGGCTTCCGGGCCAGAGCGCAGGTGGCGGCGCTCAAAGAGAAGACGTCCAGCTCCAGGCTCCGCAGATGGAACTGGCGCACCAAGGCCAGCGCCCGCGCCCAGTCGCTCCTGAGTCAGCCAGAGCGAAGCGGAGACTTGGGAAGCCGAGGGGTCGGTGAAGCCAATGGGTCGAGGCCGTTTTTTGGGAGGGCGCCGTGATTTTTCCCGCGATGTTCACGGGAAAGAACACGGAACACGGGTCTTTCTTGTCTCTAGCGACACCAAACCTGCCTGCGAGGGACATGTTCTTGGGAACCACATGCATAGCTAACCTCCCAAGCCTAGCGTCATGAGACATGGTCCGGCATGCACCCCCAACCCACCTGAGTCAGAATCGAACCCTAGTCACTAGATTGTCCACCCAAAACCGTGTAAAGAACCAAACACGCGGATTTCCGCAATCTATGGTTGGAAGTTTGTTCCTACCCTTCGCTTGCACTGGTTTGAATTGTGGCTCCCTTGGGGGCATGATGGGGTATAAAACCTTATGCAAAGGACCGCTGGCAGCAGAGTTAGTAATTCGGCACCATGGGCAGGGCGTGGAAGGCCGTCTGTCACATACCGCGGTTGGGCGGTTGGCGAAGGATGCCAGACATTGCAACTCATGAGTCAATGCCTGTCACAACGATAGGTGCCCTTTTGGACCATATTTCATTGGGTGTCCCTGGCAAATGGGCCATACAACACCTATCCAAGCAGTGGAGCCCATCTATTTCTAACCAAACACCTACGGTCACAACTTGCAGCGCTACACGAGCTCAAGCGCAAGGAAGGATCCAAGTCATGGGGAGATATGCCATCTTGTTGTTGCTTAAACCTAGGCTGGAATTAGGACCGCAGCAAAAAATCGTCTTTTTTGCCTGGTTAGTGGAAACCAAAGGGACCCCACAAAAGCAAAAACAACAAGGGGAGCTAATTCTGGGAAAGAAGCTGGAACGGACACGAAAGGGGGCATTTGGGTGTGTCTCAAAAGGAAAGACTGAGGGTTACGCAGGTTTTTGCTGTTGGCTCCATTTACACAGGAACCGTTCTGGTACATTTTTCTGAGCCACGGCCATTTGGGAAGAGCCACTCTTCAAAAGGTGACTTAGGCGATGTTCGAAACTCCGGACGCCGCGGATTTTGTGTTTTGAAGGAGGCGAAGCGGACACTTTTTCCCTAGCGGAGCAGGTAACCATTCATGTGGGGGTGTTTCCTATCCAAAGCTGACCTCGGACGAGTTGCGGGCTGGCGGGCCGCGAAATCGTGGGATGGGATTTCCACTGGGACCCCACCGGGAATGACACAGAGTCTAGGTCCTCCAGTAGAGAGGTTAGAATAAGGGTACCAACTTTTTTCAGGACGTCTATTTCAATAGGGGAACCCTCCCCACAAAAAAAGGTAGCATTACTGGGGGACCTAGGAGTGCTCCTAAATGCGGAGAACGAACAAGTCAGAGTGTCGTTTTCCAAGGCGGAACCAACTAGCGCGAGACATCAGTAGCGCCTAGTGGAATGTCCTCCAAACAATGCAACCGTGCAAATTACACTAAACGTCTCACATGTAATTTTGCGCAAAGCAGTTGACGCGGCAAAGTCTTCGACCTTCAAGCATAGGTCTCCAGTCCTGGTCCAAAAATGGCATCATATCAAGGGCCCAACGCGCCTACTGATAATGATTCCGTTTTGGTGTCAGAAGTCAAGAAACATGATAAAGCACGCGTTGTGAAGGATCACTTGGAAGGAATTGTTGAGAATGTATTCCTAACAACAAGAACCTGGCAGACCTTCGTGTTTGAAACAGCCCATCTAGTGGGTAAGTCCACACAGATTGGGCGCCCCTTTCTGGATCGTATTTAGAGGGAAGCCAAAAGGACCCCATCAGGATCTTGTTTCTGGCAACACCATCTGGACCGAACCCTTTTCTGGCATCCGCTTGGAGAGATCCTTACCACAGACTTTCACGGCTCGCGCTTCTGTGCCCAGTTTTGATACGGGCGACAAAAAGACGGACCTTCATTCAACGGCTCCCAACTCGCCCGGCGAAGTTGCAAGACACGTTGGCACCCCCCAAAAAAAGGCGGGGTGCACTTGTTTTTTTTTGTTTTTGTTTTTGTTTTGGTGAAGACAAATGAGGAAAAACGGCAAGGAAGTGTACTACCGCAGTGTCCTGCCCTCAAAAAAGAACATCGCGCCTTAAGCCGACGCCTTTTCTGCCGCGGTGGAATCCAGTTGATGGACGGTACACGTGACATGCACCAATGAAACGAAAGAACTGGTAGCCTGCTTTCGGAGCAACCGGCCCCAAACAATATTTGAAACAAGGGGTGGGCGGTTTAAAGTGTTCTGCTGGCTCTGAGTACTGCTTGATGTAAATCCTGGCGGTCAACCTTCCTGAGTTTCGGTCCTAAAGCCGAGTTTGTGCGGACAGCAAATGGGGCCTTGACGACCAACGCAGAACCAAGAGGTCAGATCTGGTCGATTCGATTCGGCCCCCACTCCAACACTCCCAACACATGATTGACCACTGGTCTAAACAAAGCCCTCCCAAAGACGGGTGACTCATCGTGCCCGCTTTGTCCAAATTCCTGCCCCGCGTTTGCCGCCCGTATGTCATCAGCCCATCTCCTGAAGGGTCACCTTGCCCGACTTCTCCAACTCTTTTTCTCAGGATCATCAACATGCGATCATAACCACAAGTCGGCTTAGAAGCTACTTACCAAAAACTATCCAAGGACCATGTCTGACTTCATATATCTCTATCCTTAAATAGCGATCGTTCAAATCAAAAAAACACATCGAGGGTACACAGAAACTAGTCTTCAGCTTCAGCATATTTAGTCTGCCCCTACAACATATGTCATGGGATTGCCCCAAGCATCAGAAAGGACCCTCCATTGAAGGGCAGTGTACACTTGGCATGGTGTCAAAAAACCTGAAAGGACCATAAAGAGCTCTACCCTTTCTGCAAAATCGATGAGACCCGTTTCGACCCGCCGCGCTTTCGTGCGCATGTGGCCCTAGTACCCCCCCGCTTCTCTTCTCTTCCCGAGCGACGGCAGTGAGCTCGTTGCCGTCGAGGGCGTCGCGCCAGGCCAACGCCCCCGCCTTCAACAGGCAGTTCCGGGAGATCACGTCCGCCTCTGGCAAGGCGGCTTTGGTCCCCCCAAAAAAAACGCGACCTGCATTTTTTGCTCGGCCTCGCCCTTTCGGAAAGGGCGAGGCACACCCCCAAGAGTGTTTTTTTTGCAAAGGAGAACAAACTCAGTGACAGTGAAAATCTGGAAGAGTTCACCCACCTCGCAATGAACTTCGGCTGCACCTATTTCTGGTTCGGGCGATGGCCTACAATCCTGCAATCCGGGGATTGGTTGCTGCTCACTTGATGTGTTGCGCTTTGAGGCTCGGTATCCGCCGAAGCCCATGTTTGAGGTCCCCTATGACATGTGCGGCTTGTACCACACATCTGCTTTGATTGATTTGAGGCAACCAGTTTCTACAACGCGGTCGGACAATTCCCCGGCTGAGCCGGGGAATTTCCAGCCGCAGAAGGGTGACACATGTGGACTTCCGGCGACATGCAGCAGATTGAGCCACTCACACAGGATGTATTGCAAGTTGTGTAGGGTAAGTGTATGCCTC